TAAATCTGATTTTGACCTGTTGAGAGGCAGGAGAAATCTACAAATTAAAGAGCAGAGGTTACCGAGGGAGACACTCACTTTAGGGAGGACGGTGGAGAGTCTCTTGTATACAGGCGAGAACGACGGCGATGTGGACACAGAGATTGATGCTATAAATCTGATTTTGACCTGTTGAGAGGCAGGAGAAATCTACAAATTAAAGAGCAGAGGTTACCTAGGGAGACACTCACTTTAGGGAGGACGGTGGAGAGTCTCTTGTATACAGGCGAGAACGACGGCGATGTGGACAGAGATATTGATGCTATAATTCTGATTTTGGCTTTTGAGAATCAGGGGGCATTACATCTTCAGTAGGTAATGGCCGCTGCACATTCTTTTGAGAAAGCTGCAAATCAAGGAGCAAAATTCGCATAGAGTGGACACTCACTCAGAGAGAACGGTGGAGGTAATTTTGACTTTCTGTGAATGAGGAAAAATCTACAAATTAAGAAGCAGAGGTTACCTAGGGGGACACTCACTTTAGAGAGGACGGTGGTGAGTCTCTTGTATGCAGGCGAGAACGACGGCGATGTGGACACAGAGATTGATGCTATAATTCTGATTTTGACCTGTTGAGAGGCAGGAGAAATCTACAAATTAAAGAGCAGAGGTTACCTAGGGAGACACTCACTTTAGGGAGGACGGTGGAGAGTCTCTTGTATACAGGCGAGAACGACGGCGATGTGGACAGAGATATTGATGCTATAATTCTGATTTTGAGTTTTGAGAATCAGTGGGCATCACATCTTCAGTAGGAGACGACTCCTTCACATACCTTTGAGAAAGCCGCAAATCTATGAGCAAAGTTTACATAGAGTGGACACTCACTTTAGAGAGAACGGTGGAGAGTCTCTTGTATGCAGGCGAGAACGACGGCGATGTGGACACAGAGATTGATGCTATAATTCTGATTTTGACCTGTTGAGAGGCAGGAGAAATCTACAAATTAAAGAGCAGAGGTTACCTAGGGAGACACTCACTTTAGGGAGGACGGTGGAGAGTCTCTTGTATACAGGCGAGAACGACGGCGATGTGGACAGAGATATTGATGCTATAATTCTGATTTTGAGTTTTGAGAATCAGTGGGCATCACATCTTCAGTAGGAGACGACTCCTTCACATACCTTTGAGAAAGCCGCAAATCTATGAGCAAAGTTTACATAGAGTGGACACTCACTTTAGAGAGAACGGTGGAGAGTCTCTTGTATGCAGGCGAGAACGACGGCGATGTGGACACAGAGATTGATGCTATAATTCTGATTTTGACCTGTTGAGAGGCAGGAGAAATCTACAAATTAAAGAGCAGAGGTTACCTAGGGAGACACTCACTTTAGGAGGACGGTGGAGAGTCTCTTGTATGCAGGCGAGAACGACGGCGATGTGGACACAGAGATTGATGCTATAATTCTGATTTTGACTTGTTGAGAGGCAGGAGAAATCTACAAATTAAAGAGCAGAGGTTACCTAGGGAGACACTCACTTTAGAGAGAACGGTGGTGAGTCTCTTGTATGCAGGCGAGAACGACGGCGATGTGGACAGAGATGTTGATGCTATAATTCTGATTTTGACTCTTAAGAATCAGAGGCATTTCATCTTCAGTAGGAATGACTCCTGCACATACTTTTGAGAAAGCTACAAATTAGGGAGCAAAGTTTACATAGGGGGACACTCACTTTAGAGAGAACGGTGGAGAGTCTGTTTCATGCAGACGGAAACGACGACGATGTGGCAGAGACGCTGTAATTTAATCAGGATGTTGACTTCTCAGAAGGAGGAGGAAATATTTATCCTCAGTAGGTAATGAAACTGCACATACTTCTGAGAAATCCCGAAATGTTGAACAATCTTTACATATTAGGGCCACTCACCTGTGAGAAAATAGAGGGAATGCCCTTGTTCGTAGATGGGCGGCAGTGTGAAAAGGGATGCTGCTGGTGTGATAAATTTCAGTTTTTAAAAAACCGTGAAGCTTTTCATTTCCTGTAAAATAATTATTACTGCACTAACTTTGTGAAGGGTCCAAAATAGAGAATGTTTTAATTTAGTCAACTGCTCACTTAAAGTGGAATAATGGACGGCTTATCAAGATCTTGACGAAAGTAGGTGCTATTAGTGGAGTAGTCGATTCTGCAATAGTGATAATATTTTCGTCGAAGCACAAATGTATAATATGAGCTCACCTAGAGTTGCTTTATGCGTTTCCTCATCCCATACATCGTCACAGCAAAGCTTCGGGATATACGATGTTTTTGATCGCATTTGTAGATGAGTTGACCCTTATTCCACTTGGAGTCCTTGCGCGTGAAAGGGCAACGTATAGTTGTCCGTGAGAAAAGACATCCTGTGGGAGATATACGCCTACTTTGTCGAAAGACTGTCCTTGTGCTTTATTAATTGTCATTGCAAAAGCTATTCGCACAGGGAATTGTCTTCTGCGAAGTCGAAAAGGAACTCGCTTTTCCCAATAGTTGTCGATTCTCGGAATGATGGCGAGTCGGCCTGTTCTGTCTCCGCAGATAAACGTGCAACCAAGTGTGAAACGTCCTAATGTTTCAACTCTCAACCGGGTTCCATTACAGAGGCCATTGGTTACATCGAGGTTCCTCAGCAGCATCACAATTGTCCCCTTCTTGAGATGCAGCTCATGTGGCGGCATTCCTGTCGGTGTCAGGGAATTTATATATTCCTGCTGGAAAAGTTGATTATACTGTCCTTCAGTGTAAATTGCTTCATCGATACTCTTGTACGTTTTTTCGTCCTCTGATCTTTCCACACGCAGACGATCAAGGGCTATGTCGTTTAGGCGCTGTACGTGGACATTCTTTGGCGCAAGAATGGCACGCTCGCACAACTCAGACGTCCTTTCCGGGTCGAGGGTGGCTCCGAATATCTCTGTAACTATGTCAGAAGAGCACATCATCTCTTCAGGCATCAGCACACAATCATTGACATCGTTGCAGTCTCCGTTACCTATTCCAAGAAGACGTTCATGCCAGTCATCTCCAGCATCTCTTGCTCTCATATTGACGGTCAGGTGGTGAATTGCAAACAGCGACCAAAGAGCAGACTTATGAACGCAAGCATCAACAAAGTCTTCCCTTTGACCATGCTCGACTACTGGCAAGACTTGACGGAAATCTCCACCAATAATCATAATCTTTCCACCAAACGGCTCACTATTTTGCATGATGTCCTTCAGGAGGGTGTCGACTGCTTCCAATGCAACTTTTGGCGTCATGGAAATTTCGTCCCAAATTATCATGTCCGTTGAATACAGCTCTCTAGCTTCCTTTTGTTCGCGCTTCATGGTGGATGTTCGATTACCATCAGCAATGTTAAGCTTGAAGACAGAATTGACTGTTCGCCCTCCTGGCAGAAGGTTGGCAGCTATCCCTGTCCAAGCAACGCAAACAACTTGACGTCGCCGTCCAACTGCAATGTTGTACACAGTGTTGTATAAATAGGTCTTCCCACTCCCTCCGGGTCCGTCTATGAATATGCACCGATTCCTTGGTCTGCTTAGTGCATCAATAATTGCGTCTGCAGCAGTCTTTTGTCCGGAATTGAGAGTCTCATACTGCGTCATACCGTTTCTCAAGTGTTCGTCGTAATCCACTGTCACAGGAGGTGCTACGGGGCGCTTCAGCTACGGGAGGAGTAACGGTCTCTCGTAAATCTCTGCCCAGAACTGCCATTCGATCCAGCACATCAAAGTACGCATGTGCCACAGCAAGCTCAGGTTCCATTCCCCGGTAGATGAAATCATCCGACATTGCGTGGGCAAACTCGTTCCACAAATCCTGTGCGTGAACCACTTCAGAAAAGCAGAGTAAGCATGCAAAAAAACTCCGGAGGCATGTCGCTGACTGGTACTGTGCTGCTTCTTGCAAGCTTTGCCGAAAGTATCTGTCGTCGTCTAGGAATCCTGCATGTCTGGCTGCCTCTGCAAACGTATCATATGCAACGCCGTCCACAGTTCGTAGGTCCTCAAAGGATATTCTCCCTTTCGTGTTCAGTAGCAAAATTCGGAGGCAATATCGTTCGGTGTCTCGAGGCGAAACGGTGTACATTCTCCCAATAAACTTTCCAGACCGTGTTCTCGCTTTCCAACCACTACGTGGCTTGAATGTGAAATATTCAGGAAGTTGATAGTAATAAAGCTCCCTAGGATCCGTCGCAATGTCGCGGTGTTCGTTTTCACCAATTTGGGCATAGTGCCTGTTGAGCTCGAAGTATGCCGTAAGAGTTGTATATGATTGGCGTGCATGATCAAGGTATTGTTGCTCTCTTCCTTGCACAAATAGAACCGTTTGGTAATCAGGTAAGTGAACAGCGAGCCTGACGATCGTGTGCGACTTATCCTGCATCTCAAAACTGTAGATCCTGTACATGCTCTCAGGGGCACACACATAGCGAGTATTCAAATGTTGCTTAATTTCGTCAACATTAGTTGTTTCGTTACCGTCTTGGTTGCCTTCGATGTTGATTCGAGCACGGTCCGGACCCTTGTAGACATACTTGTAGAGGTACTTCACTGCTGATATCATGCCACAAACCTCCAAATTCACGTGGCAATCAAATTTTGTGAGAAGGTACGGGTTTGATGGAACAACCCACTGGTCGCCGTATAATACACCATTACTTTCGAAAGGATTCAGGTTGCGCCGTCGATAGTTTGGGTATCCGTCCACGTCCACCGAAGTTCTTTCCCTTATTTGCTTAGGAAACCTTTTTGAACAGGTTCCATTAGGAAGCGTGCATGGAGAGTCCACCTGTCCACATCGCCTGTGTATCATGAAGGACGTCACTGCAGCATGAAGTGCGGGTTCTTCTGCAGAGTTTGGGATTTCCGCACAAATAGATCTGTCCACATCGTCCGCCGTCCGCACTTTCCAATCTTCTTTCATTATGAGAAGCATGTGACAATGTGGAAGGCCTCGTTTTTGGAATTCGATAACGTACACGTAGGCTTGTACTTCTCCAAGAACATGTTTTTTGAAGAGATCGACACAAAGTTCTTGTACCTTGGCGTTGAAAACCCGCGCTACCACATCAGGACGATCCGACGCTGATTGGCCACTGAAGAGGTTTTCTTGGATCTCCTTCCATTGCGGATTGCACGTCATTGTCAGAAAATATGTAGGTTTCCCATAACGTGCAACTATAGCCATTGCGTCCTGATATGACTGTTGCATGGAGCGCGGTCCACCGAAATAGGATGACGGCAAAACGACACGGGCTCCCGGTGGACCGGTGACATCCTCACCGGCAAGATAGTCCTGCAGACCTCTATAAGAGTCGGAGCGCAGTCTCAGTTGATTTCTTCTCGCGAAATTAAGCCGATTCTGCTCTATTTTGACATAAGCGTCAACGGCAAATTGCTGGAAGAGTTTTCCAGCGTACAGAATAGGGTTGAAGTTATCTCTTACCGACAGCAGATACGAATAGTACTCTCTCTGTGAAATCCGATATCCATTGTCATTGGTCATGGTTGGCTCCCATCCGCCATTTCCAGTAGGGAAGAGGAGTGGATAAGTGAGAGGGTCGCATATCTTGTCAATATCGCTTATATTCTGGAGTTGTTCTCCTGAGGCATTTCGGAGGTGCACGGCTAAGCTCCTCGTTGGTGGCACGTCGTTGTTTTCGCCAACGTACACAACTGCAACTTCATTCGCCGTCGGCAGGTCGTATTGACGACGCCTTAATCCTCTCTCATTGCTCCTCTCAAAGATCATTTGGATATTATAAGGAGTACGGTTTTCGCGTGCTGCGGCTGCAATTTCCGCTTGTTCGACTTCGCTCATCATCTTGAAGGACTGAGCATAAACATTAGCTTCCGACAACAACTCGCTGAGAGAACGCATCAGTTCTTGGATCACAATCAACATTTCCTTGAGTCTCCGAGACGTCGGTCAGCAGCCATTTCCGCATCCAAAATATAGATCTGTCCATACTGACGTAGCTCTCCTTCTCTTGGATGAAGTGGGCCTATCCGATGATAAATCTGACCATGTATTCTGTAACAGTATGGGCCACGGCCTCTCAACGTGTCTATTTGAGCGCCCATTGACGCCATTGCCAACGCAGAATTGAAGCTCCTGATATTCTCCAAAAAATTCCTCTGGATTCGCTGTTCTTCTCCCGAGTTCGTAGGGTCTCGAATGTACAGTCTACGCAGTCTATCTGGAAACTCTTCAAAAAAATTCAGATTGAAACGGCCCAAGTCGCAACACTCGAAGAAGAGATCTGGATGCTGTGGCTTAACTTCACAGAGGAAGTGGTGTGCGCCGCAATGCTCACATATGTGATCCAAGCCACCGAGGTAGCTGGGTTCTGCGTAACGATCCCTTGTAGCTACTCCAAGCACTCTAGAAGGAGGATTGCGTAGTAATCGGTGACGCTCAGCATCGCTTGCAAGACGAACACGCCTTTCTTCACTGCTTTCCCGTTCACGCATTTGCCGAAGGCGTTCAGCATCATCTCTTTCTCGTTCAGCTCGTTCTTCACTGCTTTCTCGTGCTCGCCTTCGCTGCATGCGTTCAACATCAGCCCTGCGTCGTTCAGCTCGCTCTTCACTGCTTTCCCGTGCTATCCTTTGCTGGTGGCGCTCAGCATCAGCCCTGCGTCGTTCAGCTCGCTCTTCACTGCTTTCCCGTGCTATCCTTTGCTGGTGGCGCTCAGCTTCAGCCCTGCGTCGTTCAGCTCGCTCTTCACTGCTTTCCCGTGCTATCCTTTGCTGGTAGCGCTCAGCATCAGCCCTGCGTCGTTCAGCTCGTTCTTCACTGCTTTCCCGTGCTATCCTTTGCTGGTGGCGTTCAGCATCATCCCTGCGTCGTGCAGCCCGTTCGTCACGACTTTCTCGTTCACGCATTTGCCGAAGGCGTTCAGCATCACGTCTTTCTCGTTCAGCTCGCTCTTGACTGCTTTCTCGTGCTCGCCTTCGCTGCATGCGTTCAACATCACCCCTGCGTCGTTCAGCTCGTTCTTCACTGCTTTCCCGTGCTATCCTTTGCTGGTAGCGCTCAGCATCAGCCCTGCGTCGTTCAGCTCGTTCTTCACTGCTTTCCCGTGCTATCCTTTGCTGGTAGCGCTCAGCATCAGCCCTGCGTCGTTCAGCTCGTTCTTCAC